ACAGCCAATGAGAGAACAAGACACAGGGCAGCGGGAAGTTCGGGGAGGAGTTATATGAAATATAGTTTGCGGACCAGTGTTGCCAAATCTGCGATTGCCACCGGTTGTTGTTTTTTATGTCAGCAGGTTGAAGCGACCCCAATAACGTGATATTTAGGCCCTGGAATGTGAATTGTAACAGGAGAACCCCCCAAACGCGATTTTTACTGGGGGACCCCCTCGAAAGCAATTGGGCTATTTTCAGGCTAGTTTTGAGTAGTAATTGGACGGGTTTTGTAGTGAAACCCTGGCAACCCTGCAACAGACAGAGCTGTCGGCGATTCTTCCTATTGTAAAGTCATGCAGTGTATATCCTCCTGTCGTCGTTCCATCGTGCAGTGTGAACACAGCAACAACTAAATGCTACCCCAGATAGTCGTTCAGTGTGAAACCAACAGTGATGAGACGTCTTTGAAAATTGTGCAGTGTGAACTCGGCATTAGAGAGACCAATCCACTTCGAGTGTAACTAAATGAGCCAATGCACATTGGCATGCGATGATTGCATCCAGCTGCCGCTGATCGCAGTGCATGCAATTATTGCATCCAGCTGCCGCTGATCACAGCGTGAGCATAAAAAGGCAGTCGGTGCAATGCATACCAGTTTTTCGCTTCGGAGCCGAGCGATCACATCGTTTTGCTCCTGACTACTCTACTGAGAGAAGAAGACTGAATGAGTTCAGCACGCTCTTTGGAGCTCTTGGTGTTGGCGGTACAGCACTTCAGCAGTGGTGGTTTCCCGTGTCGAGTGGGTTGCTCACATCAGGCTGCACTACCCCCTGTTTGTGTTGCAGGCAGCCATCTCCCCTGTGTGCTTCAGCATGATAAAAGAGCTTTTTCCCTGAAAGAGCATTCACGGGTGCGTCTTTTTAAAGACAACGTTGCGTCTGGCAAACTCGACGTTATGTCTTTGTAAAGACGACATTGCATCTTGCTACAGACAGCGTGTCACCTGTGCGTTTCTGGATGCGGTCGTTACCTGGCATCGGGTGATGGTCACGATCACTGCCTCACGTGTCTGGGCATTAAGCACTCTGAGGTGGCGTTCGTGGGTGAGTCATGTTCTCATTGCGGGAAGATGACCATCTCGGAGTTGCGGGCCAAGCTCCGTTACCTCAAAAGGGGGAAGCTCCGTTGCCTCTGCCTCTATCTAGTTCTCGTCATGGCAGCAGTTAGGCTACTTCAAGCAGTAGCACGGGCGGTTTGAGGGTAACAG